TGTACATTTAATTCAAACTGTGTATTATATATATATATAGGCCTATATATACTGTATATATATATATATATATTATATATATATATTATATATACATATATTATATATATACATACACACACATTAAACACACACCCCCACACATACATGCACAAAGACACTCACATGGAAACATTCATATACTAATGCATTATACAATACACAATTTTCAAATAAAGTTAGCGGCGTAATTACCGTAAACACAATAAACGATTATATTTTAATATTAAACGATTATAACTTAACATTAAAACGAATGGGAACATGATTGTAAAAATAATCATATCACGCATATCTAATCAACGAGACATTCCTTTATAGCAGTTGTATGAAAAAATGTGTCTATGGCCAGATTAGATGATCAGATTACCTGCATCCTCTCACTATCATGGCGAGTAAACACCCACCAAACCACGGAAAAAACTCAATAAGAAATACATACAGATCAAACCCCCGGGCAGTTTCTCTCATACAACTGTCTGAAACGCTCATAGACATTGTGGAACTGTAGTTAGGCTAGAGGAGCGTATAGGTTGCAGATAGGAAATCAAAAGAATAATCTAAAAATTTGCGACGTAGTAACCTACCGTAGACAAAATATGAAAAATAAGAAATGGATAAGTAACTAACATTCCTTCCCCTTTTGTGGCAGGAAGTAGATCTAGGAGTGTGATTACAATCGTGTTAATGATCGTGGTAGAGATGTACTTTCTGCCCGCAGTAAATCGAAAATTTATAAATATGTCAGAAATTTAGGTCTACAAATTAGGCAACTCAAGTAAGCAAATGTAAGTGCTTTCATTCATAAAATAGTTTGGGAACATAAAGATATTGAGACAACAATTTTTGATTGAGTGCCTTCTTAAAAGATTGGACGGGATAATTTTTTATTTCAGAGCTGATGTTATTAAGAAGAATAGGCATATAATATCGGATTATCGGCACGTACGTTTCAGTTTTATACACAGTGAATCAACGGAACAGAAAGAACTCCGAGGTGTTATCCCAAAATTTGTGTTTTTCAAATTTATCCCTTATCAACAACAACAACAACAACAACAACAAAAAATCGCCAGACCAATTGAAAAAATGCTCTGACGGCTATGACTATATATGGATTAGATTTATTACACCAAGGACAGCCCACGAAAGTCTAGAACTACAACAATTTCCTACTCTTTTTCCTAAGAGGGTAGGTCTACTGTGTTCTTTAACGTGTACATGGGCCATAAATGCACACGGGCCATAAATGCACACGGGACCAACGGCTTAAATGTCTTATCCGAAAGACGATACGCTACAACGTGTACTTCAGCCCTCCGACTGAAACACAAGTAGAGGCACGATGGGAATTGAACCGGGAAACTACAGAACTCCACGGTTCACACAGTGGCTACCACCAAATTAGCCGACTGAGCTAAGGTGCTCTCTATATGCTATAATACACTACACAAAGCTCTGAAATGTATGACGACGGCAAATTACGACAGCAAATAATATAAAACTATATCAATATCTAGGTTTAAAAATGCTCAACAAATCGATTATGCTTCAGAAGGACTATATTACAATTCCATGAAAGAAACAGCGGTTATATACCAACCTAACCAATCACTTGTTCGGCGACCGTCAGGGTAGAGTATTTTGTTGTTTTTGTCTCTTTATAGTGTTATGTTCACTTATTCTTTCATATCAGTATTTAGGACATATAGGCTAGGTTTTTAAGTACATAGGCCTATATTTACGTCGTTTATTCGAAATATTTAAGTGATAAGTCTTCGGTATATCAGGAAACAGTTAAGTTATATCGATGTGATTTTGCGTCAGAAAAATATCACAGGAGTTATATTTTGCCCTCTCTGACATGGTTCCGTGCCGAATACACAGTACGTTCATAAAAATATTTGCGTAAACAATTCGCAAGTGACTCGTTGATATATGATTTTCAATTTCTAGATTTAGACCCTCGTTCTCAACAGAGGTATGTATGATCCGCCTGTCTGGCCACATTAAGAATGGGATAAACAATATATTTCCCTGAAAAATGTGCGAGTCGAATGGCTGAGCGGTTAACAAATGTTTTTAACGTAGGATAGCTTGGTAAAATTTCACGAATTATTCATAATCATCCTTATAGAACATAGTTTGCGCATGCGCTATTTTGAAGTCTGTGCCAGCCTCAATAATCAGCTATTCTGTGCTTCGCGAGGAACCCACGCCCAGTGTGACCACTGCTTGGGTATTTACCCAAGATCTTGGGTATTTTGACTTGGTCTTGGGTTCTTGGGTATTCCGTTCAAATCCTTGGGTATTTTATTTTTACTAAGAAAATTAAATATTTTTGTCATAGAGGAAGAATTTAAAAGTAACAAAGTATATTTCAGTCCAATCAAGTAAGCAAAACTCAACGAAGTGCACATAACATTGTTAATTGACTGTTAATTGCTATAAACATGGGTTCAGAGATGTTTATTTGTGATTTGCGTTGCCATTGATCTTACCTAATTAATGCATTACATAATAAAACTTGATCACTGATCTACTGATAACACTGGCCGACTGAGGGCGTATTTTTCTATCCGTATTATCACCTCATGAATATTAATTTTAATAATTAACACAAACAATTACAATTAAAATTGGTTTATAAATTAAACTAAAAGGGAAACTTATACATGCGACAAACACGTATTTTTCAAATTTTAATGCATTTTCAGGAAGCTTGGGTAATTTTGGGCAATTTTTGCTGAATCTTGGGTAATTTCGACCCAGTCATTGGGTATATCAAAAATTGTGAGTGGTCACGCTGCCCACGCCTTTTCCACGAATCGGTAGACATCTTGAAATGATGTCAAACAAACCAAGTCAGTAGTGCGTAACCAACAAAAATAAGATAAGATTTGAGGCTAAATACTTGTCCTCATGTTATCGAAAAATTCATAAATCCATAATGGAGGGTCACATTAATTTTTTTCTGGAAAATGTTCTCAAAAGACTATTCTACACCACTATATGATTGAAAAAAAATTGAAAAATGTTTTTGACCTCTGAAATCAAGATGGAAGGAAAGCCTATAAAAATAGTGTATAAACTTATATAAGCATTATAATAATATCAATAAATTATAGTCTCATCGTTTATATAGGCCCACTGTCTCTATTACATTTGCGGTGTGCACTCTGATTCTTACATTGTCGACACTTTGTTTAAGAGGGGCTTTTGTAACATGATCAGGACATTTTATAAACAGGCCTATACTTTAACACAAGACGATTTTTAAATGATCTTACTGTTCAAAAAAAGATTCAGACGACGCTTCAGTGATTTAAAAAAACAAAGGTGGCATGACACTGTAGGTAATTAAATGGAACCAAAAATGCCTATACAACACGAAAAGTACCCAGTGATCAATTTTTGGCGCTAATTACTCTCTTTATGGCTGTAGCCTAGGCCTATAACATTTTGCTCATTTTCAAACCGCCCCATGCACATGGACATGACAGATTTGTCTTTACCTTATTGAAAATGTATTTATCGGAATTCTTATTAGGCCTATGTTTTTAATTTTATTATTATTATTATTATTTTTCTTGACGGGCCAAATTAAATTGACTGCGGGTTGCCTATTAAGAACAGGGCAATATACGTATTGCTAAATAACCTAAATTTAGTTGTGTTACCTCAATGATTTAACAATGGGCTTCTTCTACCATGGGTCATAAATCAGGCATCAGGCCTCTGCAATCCTTAAGACTTTAAAATGTCTATGATAAGGGTTTTACTTCCTCTGAGCTGCTAGGTTAAATTTAGCAGATCGATAAGAATACTAAGCTTGGGAGGTTCTGTTTACAGGATTTAATTTTAGATCTGAGTGGTGTAACCCCTACATCATTACGCGCTTTTGGCTTGTTTAAAAACACACAGTGATCGATTTATTATATATGGCCTACCGTATATAATCTTGCTCATTTTCAAAGAAATGGATAAGTAACTAACATTCCTTCCCCTTTTGTGGCAGAAAGTAGATCTAGTAGTGTGATTACAATCGTGTTAATGATCGTGGTAGAGATGTACTTTCTGCCCGCAGTAAATCGAAAATTTATAAATATGTCAGAAATTTAGGTCTACAAATTAGGCAACTCAAGTAAGCAAATGAAAGTGCTTTCATTCATAAAATAGTTTGGGAACATAAAGATATTGAGACAACAATTTTTGATTGAGTGCCTTCTTAAAAGATTGGACGGGATAAATTTTTATTTCAGAGCTGATGTTATTAAGAAGAATAGGCACGTAATATCGGATTATCGGCACGTACGTTTCAGGTTTAAACACAGTGAATCAACGGAACAGAAAGAACTCCGAGGTGTTATCCCAAAATTTGTGTTTTTCAAATTTATCCCTTATCTACAAAAAAAAAAAAAAAAAAAAAATCGCCAGACCAATTGAAAGCATGCTCTGACGGCTATGACTCTATATGGATTGGATTTATTACACCAAGGACAGCCCACGAAAGTCTAGAACTACAACAATTTCCTACTCTTTTTCCTAAGAGTGTAGGTCTACTGTGTTCTTTAACGTGCACATGGGCCATAAATGCACACGGGACCAACGGCTTAAATGTCTTATCCGAAAGACGATACGCTACAACGTGTACTTCAGCCCTCCGACTAAACACAAGTAGAGGCACGATGGAATTGAACCGGGAAACTACAAACCTCCACGGTTCACACAGTGGCTACCACCAAATTAGCCGACTGAGATAAGGTGCTCTCTATATGCTATAATACACTACACAAAGCTCTGAAATGTATGACGACGGCAAATTACGACAGCAAATAATATAAAACTGAATGGCGCCACCACAATATCTAGGTTTAAAAATGCTCAACAAACGGAACTGGTGCCCATATAACGCTTACCATCGATTATGCTTCAGAAGGACTGGTGATACCGTTAAGAGTCTTCTGTTTGTAACCCGCATATCATTTTTATCAATTATGACACGAAAACGTATAGGTAGTCTGTTACCATGTGGACTGTCTTTTTCACTTGGCGTCTTTCTGACTTATATATGCCTAAATTACATTTCCATGAAAGAAACAGCGGTTATATACCAACCTAACCAATCACTTGTTCGGCGACCGTCAGGGTAGAGTATTTTGTTGTTTTTGTCTCTTTATAGTATTATGTTCCACTTATTCTTTCATATCAGTATTTAGGACATATAGGCTAGTGATTTTTTATTTTTTCGTTTTTAAGTACATAGGCCTATATTTACGTCGTTTATTCGAAATATTTAAGTGATAAGTCTTCGGTATATCAGGAAACAGTTAAGTTATATCGATGTGATTTACAGTGATTTTGCGTCAGAAAAATATCACAGGAGTTATATTTTGCCCTCCCTGACATGGTTCCGTGCCGAATACACAGTACGTTCATAAAAATATTTGCGTAAACAATTCGCAAGTGACTCATTGATATATGATTTTCAATTTCTAGATTTAGACCCTCGTTCTCAACAGAGGTATGTATGATCTGCCTGTCTGGCCAAATTAAGAATGGGATAAATAATATATTTCCCTGAAAAATGTGCGAGTCGAATGGCTGAGCGGTTAACAAATGTTTTTAACGTAGGATAGCTTGGTAAAATTTCACGAATTTATTCATAATCATCCTTATAGAACATAGTTTGCGCATGCGCTATTTTGAAGTCTGTGTCAGCCTCAATAATCAGCTATTCTGTGCTTCGCGAGGAACCCACGCCTTTTCCACGAATCGGTAGAAATGATGACAAACAAATCAAGTCAGTAGTGCGTAACCAACAAAAATAAGATAAGATTTGAGGCTAAATACTTGTCCTCATGTTATCGAAAAATTCATAACTCCATAATGGAGGGTCACATTAATTTTTTTCTGGAAAATGTTCTCAAAAGACTATTCTACACCACTATATTATTGAAAAAAAATTGAAAAATGTTTTTGACCTCTGAAATCAAGATGGAAGGAAAGCCTATAAAAATAGTGTATAAACTTATATAAGCATTATAATAATATCAATAAATTATAGTCTCATCGCTTATATAGGCCCACTGTCTCTATTACATTTGCGGTGTGCACTCTGATTCTTACATTGTCGACACTTTGTTTATTCCGCTCTATTGTTTGTCAGGCTTCTTTACCGCCAACGCTTTTTGAATGTTGCCTACAGTTTATTAGTTAATAACTTCTCAGTTACTAATTGCATGCCTATGATCTTAGGATTTATCTTGCTTAATTTCTTACAGTTTTTATTTGAATTGCTCTGTATTTTTCAGTCATACGTTTAGAGAATGCTTCCTGTGGCAGGCTGTAGTTTATATTGTTAGCTAGTAATAAGTAGAGTTACAGTACATATGTATGTAACAGTATGTGAGGCAGTTATTGTGTAGGCTATTGTAAATATTCAAGTGAACTTGTTAATTTGTAATATTTATTAATAATAATAATAATTAATATTAATTAATGGATGTAGACTGATGATGATTGATATGCAAACTTTTTTCCAGAGATGTAATGTGTGATGGTACAATGATGTTTACTGGAATTTGGTGTATATTGGAGCACACACTTTTGTTAGAAAATTGTGGTTGCACACCTATGTGGCTGAATTTGGTTGCAGTATAAAGCACATTTTTGTACATTCTATTACGTGAATTAACCAATTGGGGAAGCATAATTTAAAATTGGACCACGAGGTCAAAAGTAAGAGGGGCTTTTGTAACATGATCAGGACATTTTATAAACAGGCCTATACTTTAACACAAGACAATTTTTAAATGATCTTACTGTTCAAAAAAAGATTCAGACGACGCTTCAGTGATTTAAAAAAACAAAGGTGGCATGACACTGTAGGTAATTAAATGGAACACGTTGCAAAAACAGCCAAAAAATCGTTCAAATATTAACAGATATATTACAAACCTGTCTCTTATACACATCTAGATGTGTATAAGAGACAGCAGTTAAGTTATATCGATGTGATTTACAGTGATTTTGCGTCAGAAAAATATCACAGGAGTTATATTTTGCCCTCCCTGACATGGTTCCGTGCCGAATACACAGTACGTTCATAAAAATATTTGCGTAAACAATTCGCAAGTGACTCATTGATATATGATTTTCAATTTCTAGATTTAGACCCTCGTTCTCAACAGAGGTATGTATGATCTGCCTGTCTGGCCAAATTAAGAATGGGATAAATAATATATTTCCCTGAAAAATGTGCGAGTCGAATGGCTGAGCGGTTAACAAATGTTTTTAACGTAGGATAGCTTGGTAAAATTTCACGAATTATTCATAATCATCCTTATAGAACATAGTTTGCGCATGCGCTATTTTGAAGTCTGTGTCTGTCTCTTATACACATCTAGATGTGTATAAGAGACAGGCATTAATGTAGTATGACAGTGGACGGTGGAAGCATGTTTTAAGGACCTAACTGCATAGCCAGAGTCCTTGGACACACACAGCTCTGCGCATATATAAACCTAATCACATCTGGAATCAATCCGCTGCTGCCAAAACAGATTCCTACCACATTCTAAGGTATACGCTATCCCATCAGACATTGCAACAGAAAACAAAACTAAGATATCTCTATTAACAGATATCTTAGTTTTAAATAGAGATATCTTAGTTTTAAATAGAGATATCTCTATTAATAAAGATATCTTTATTAATAGAGATATCTATATTAAAAACTAAGATATCTTCATTAAAAACTAAGACATCTATATTTAAAATTAAGATATCTCTATTAAAAATTAAGATATCTCTATTAACAATGAAAATAGAGATATCTTAGTTTTAAATAGAGATATCTCTA